GTGAGGGTTACACACCTAGAAGTTCTCGTACTTGTGCCTATAACGTTTATTTGTGAGTACATGTATCAATATGGCAGACATGTTTAATAACTGTGAAGCTGTTTCCTCTAGAGTAACTAGGTAACATCAGGATTATCATAAGCCAGTCATTCATATTTATGCATCCTTGATTTTTTTCCCTAGCTACATAGCCTATGAATTCACTAGAGTTAGAGAATATGAAACAGTAATTTTTATTTAATTTATGCTAAAATAGTCACTCATCACTTATGTCCCTTACATCACTTGTATGTTTAGTAATAACCTAAATATTTCTCATGGACATTTTTAGTTCTTTAAAGTTTTATTATACTGAATTTCTATTTGCCTGCTCCTATCATTTAATTAAACTTTTTTCTTTTTTTTTTTTTTGCCAATAGACAATTTATTTAATGATAAAACACTCAAACCATTTGGAGTTCTATATGACTAAAACAAAGAATCTGCTGTCATTATTATTTAACATTGTTTTGGAAACACAGCCCATTGCAATAACAGATGAAAAGTTATAAACCATAACTATTAAAATGTATGGAAATAAAATGCCATTACTTATGAGCAATCATCTTGCTTATTTTGTTTTTCCAGGTAGAAAATAAAAACAAACAAACAAAAATTAGTTTAGTATAGGGCAGTAGTACTGTATGTGGCCCTCAAGACCCTGTCAGAGGTTTAATAAGGTCAAAGTTATTCTTGTAATCACAGTAAATTATTTTTCTCTTCTTCACTCTCACTGTTTCATAAGAATAAAGTGTTATTTTTTTCTTTTCTTTTTTTTGCTATAGGGCGCGTGTGCTCGCCAGACAGACAGAGAGAGATAGAGAGACAGAAAGTGAGAAATCACACCCCCCCCAGGGGGGATGGCCACACCGCAATCCCTTCTCCTCCATTCTCCTCTCGGGATCTTGGGCATGCATGCACATGCGCCCAGTGTGAGTTTAAGCCACCAGGTCCGGGACTCGAACTGCAGTCGACTACGTGGGAGTTCAGCGATATAGCCATTATGCTAACTGCTGGTCCCTGTATAAAGTGTTTTTCAGAGGTTCTGTGATGTGTTTTGCTAGTAGATTAAATTAATTAGCATATATTAGAATATAGTTGAGTTTTATTAAGCTAGACATTAAAAAGATTTAAAACATTATAAAACTAGGGACCAGCAGGTGGCATATCAGTTATGTCACTGGATGCCCACAAGGCTGACTGTGATTCAAGTCCCGGACCCTGTGAGTTTGAAAATCACACAGGGTGTGTGTGTATGTATGCCCAAGATTCTAGGAGGAGAATGGAGGAGAAGGGATTGGTGTGTGGACATCGCCCCGGGGGATGATTTCTCATTTTTCCTTTCACTGTGTTTGTCTCTCTCTGGTGAGTACGCGTACCCTAAGGTAAAAGCCTCTTTAAAAAAATTATAAAACTTTCTTCTCACTACCTGTTTTTTTTGTTTTGTAAAACAATTATTTTTCATAGAATTAATTATGTTAATGTAAGTGAACTTCTTGTTATTTAAAAATATTAATCATGATCATTTTTAAAATTAGAAACTCAAACAAATACAAAAGCAGTTGTAACTCACATAAACAAAAGCTCTTTGATGTCTTCAGTAATTTTTGAGATCATATATAGTTTTGAAATTAAAAATTCGGGGGTGCCAGCAGGTGGCATGGTAGTTAAAGGCACTGGACTCCCACATGGCCAACCATAGTTCAAATATTGGACCTAGTGGCTTTCTTTCTCCCTTTCCCTCTCTCTTTCTGTCTGATCAAACTGGAAAATAATAACAACAATAATAATAAATAAAGTTAAATAAAATGATTATTTTTAAAAATCTGAAAAATTTTAAAAATAAAATTTATTGCCCATATATATATATATATGCCCATATATATTGCCCACAGAGGATGGGCAATATATATTGGGCTCTTCGGAAAGCCATAATGTATTTTTCTATGTTTTCTATCCAAAAATACATCATGACTTCCCACAACCCAATACTTGTATATACAACCACCATCATTATAATATTAAATGGAAAAAATAAAATAAGAATAATCCTAAATCCTATAGTTTTACTTGAAATATAAAAAAACACTCTATTTTGACATGTCATAGAGTATTCAATAAGTGGAGATTTATACCATCTTCCTTGTTGGGAAGTTCAACCATTATAATAGCGTACACTTTCCTTAATTAGTTTATAGATTTCACATATTCTCAAACATATTTGAAATTTAAAATATCTAATATTTAAGCTACAGTCATATGTAGCTTAACAATAGGGAAATATTCTGAAAACTGTGCTAACTTTATTGTTCCACAAATATCACAGAGTATATGTATATAACCTAACTCAAAACTAGAGTCATATAATTTTACAGCTCCATTGTTGACTAAAGCATTTTATGTGTCACATGATTATATGTCAACAAAAATTTGTGAACCCTTTAGAAATAAAAATTTCCATAAAATTTAACTAAATTGTTCTAGAGTCTGTGCAAGAGAAACAGAGAAGTAGCAGCAAAGAACATTTTTTAGAGAGAACTTTTGCTCTGGGACACATGCACTCACCAAAGGGACAGAAAGCAAGAAATCACACCCCCCCCCCCCAGGCAACGACCAACGACCACACCACAATCCCTTCTCTTCCATTCTCCTTTTGGGATTTTGGGCACACATGCACATGTACCCAGTGTGACTTTCAAGCTACCGGATCCGGGACTCAAACCACATTTGGTCCTGCAGGAGTCTAGCAACAACCATTACACCATCTGCTGGTCCAGCAAAGAACATTTTTTTAAAAGAAAGGTAATGAAGGGAGATCTGCCTTATTTGTTATTAAAGCTAAAACAGATAATCAGATAAATAAAATCATTTGTTTCAAAACTAGCTTTATTGTGTGCTGTGCATATATATGTAACTATAGGATATTTAATACAGGATGCAGAAAGCATTATTGTCCATTATCACTCATAATAAAGTGTATATAAATGTAAACAATTTTAATAACTTCAGTAAAGTTAAAATGTCATTAATACAAACAGTATTGCTAAGCATTCGTACATTGCTAGGGGTAGTTGTAAACCAAAACAACATTCTGCAATAACTATTTGCCACTACACAACAAGTAGTTTAAAATATTCATAATCTTTAATGTGGCAAGTTTATTTCTAGCAATCTCTTCTGAGGAAATTTTCAGAGATGAGAAATATTTATGCACAAATATGTTCATAACAGCAAGTGTTATAATAAGACAAACTTTAAAATAGCATATACACCTACATACTGAGCAATGATTAAATCAATATGGTAAATGCAAGGAAAAATTGTACAGAATAATTTTAAGTAAACAGCAAATACAACATTTCACATATTTCATAAATCCAACTACGTAAAAAGTATGTCAAGCTACCAAGATTAGATTCTATAATACATTAACAATGTTTCTCTCTGGATTCTGGAATTATGGCTCATTTTATTATTCTCCTTATGCCTTTCTGTAATTTTTCTAATTTTTTTTTAGGTAATGGACATATGTCATTAGTAAAAAAAATAAAAAGAATATAATTAAATTGACTTTACATACAACTATTAGCACTTTAATTTATGGCATAAGACAAGTCAGGCAAATATTGTAATAGTTAGCTTTGAAATGAGATTTCATAATACCTTGTAGCTCTAGGTTACCTGCTCTATTTACAGTGACTTCCATGGGTACTTCCAATTTCAGAGTGTACTTATTGTGCATTTGCCAGTAAACTATACAACCTTTTTACTTTTCTTCTCTTAGTCTTTCATTTTCTTACTGATCAAGTGATAGTTCTTCCAAGTTTAAAATTTGAAAATAAATTGATAAACTGTATCTCGAACAGAAACACCTGGTCATCTAATCTATGTCTCCCTTTCCATATACATTTTCTCCTAACATTTTCTCTTATCTCTTATACATCCACGTCACCTCCTCCACCCCCAACATCTGATGGCTGAAAGGATTATAGTGTCTTCTTTCTATCTCTTCTTACTGCTCAAGGCAGAAGCCAGGTCCTGGTGATCCTTATATCATTGACTAATCATCATGTACAGATCTTCAGTGATTTTCATCACCATAGACTTCATAAAAATATGTAGGAATTCTGGGACCAGCAGTTAGCATAATGGCTATGTCGCTGGACTCCCATGTAGTCGACCGCGGTTCGCATCCCGGACCTGGTGGCTTAAAAACTCACGCCAGGCACGTATGCGTGCGTGCCCAAGATCCCGAGAGGAGAATGGAGAAGGGATGGTGGCGTGGCCATCCCCCCTGGGGGGTGATTTCTCGCTTTCTGTCTCTCTGTCTCTGTCTGTCTGACGAGCGCACGTGCCCTATAGCAGAAACCTCTCAAAAAAAAAAAAAAATGTAGGCATTCTAAGAATCTAAATCTAAATGGACCAGCATAAGCTTGAGAGTCAATTGCTATTACTTTTTTGTTGTCTTAGCCTGTCTTGTATTTTTTGATATATGCTTTTTACTGTTATAGACAACTCAGGCTTAGATACATATGTGAAACATTTGAAATAATTAACACTTGGATTTTTGGTTTTGGATGAAGCTATAATATATTCTTTAAATTGCCATCTGACATTTTTCTCTCTGTGGTATTTACTAGAGAACATTGTTATATTTAGTTAATTCAAATAAGTCTCTAAATATGTGAATGGATGATGATATGGATGCATATTGGTACAAATAAAGTTCATGCAGATTCATTCACTTTATAGCAGATGCAAATTTCTTATAATTTAATGCAAATTAACTTGTTAAATTCTTTACTATAAAGTTTTCATCTATAGTGTGCATTTTGAATAGAATAGCAATAACTAAGAGTTGATTCTCTTTGTTGAATTAGTCATTTTTGGGGTGAAATATATGCTGTTTGCTTCCTCTGTGTAATTCATGTGTACTGATAAATTTCTTTTTAAACTTGCAGCAAATAGTGGCAGCAATAAATGCAGGGATTATACCTTTAGGAAACACCTCCAATCAAATCAGTCACTGGGATTTGGGAAGTTCCTTCTTCTTTGCTGGCACTGTTATTACAACCATAGGTAGGAGACAACTTATTTTGTTTTTTATTTTAATGCAGTTTGTGAGCTAAAATTCATTTGTTTGAATTTTTAATAGTTGATCACAATGGTCTACTTCAGATAGAAAATTAGATTATAGTAAATTGATTTTAAAAAGAGGGTTTAAAGGTTTGAACAAAGGAATGATGGAAATGAATTAGCTATCATTTCAGAATACCGAGCTAAGTTTAAAATATATATGACACTCCAGAGCAGCAAAGTTGAGTCATTTGACTCATGGATATGAATATCAAGAAATGGCTTGGATGAATTCTTCCTTTGGGCGAGTGGTGTTTAATTTTTCTGCATCTTTGTTTCTTTAGTGCAGTAGAAAGGATTTGAACACAATTTTAATATTCTTTTTATGAAGTTCTTAGTTGATATCACCTCTTTTGATTTGTGAAATTTAACTCTACATTTCAGGAGATCGTGCCTGTTGTTATATACCTGCCTGTCCCTTCAGGGCTTGTTTTTCATACCATTTATTTTGCCAATTGCACAACTGTATAAAAGTTAACACTGAACTCTAAAGATTTTAAAAATTCATGAAAGTTTGGACCCTTGACATTTTGCCTTTAAATCACATTGATCTAATGTTGAAAGGGGCACGTAATAGAATCTGATCACTTTTTTAAGTTTGACCATGCCTATCCTGAGTACCTTCTAGGCAGCAGAATGGGTACAGGTGGGTGTCCTCTGTCAGTCATTCAGTGCCCAAATCTATCCAAAAGGTCTAGCTGCAGAACTTAAAGTGAAAACCATGTTTGCTATTCTATGAAGATCAGCAAGGGTTATAGCTGTCCTGCTCATGGAAAGAGGTGGTTCAAAGAGTTTTTTTTAAAGGTGGGTTTAAAGCGTAGCTTTTACAAAAAAGAAGGAAATCAAATCCTCACAGTCATGGAGGAGTTTCAGGTGAGAGAAATATATATGCAAAAGAAGCTCTTCCCTCCAATATATGCTCCTGATGAGACTTCCCCTTATGGGACTAATCCCTGCGTATGGGGTAATTAAGGTTGTAAAACTCTCAGTTTTATTCGTTGATGCCATTGATAAATAATGTTTATAAAATTTTCAAATCAATATTTTCTATCAAAGTGCTAAGAGAACTTGGAAAATTTATGGATGAGCTCTTGTTTAAAATTCTTCCTTTGATAAGAATTTATAGTGTCTTGTCCTTATATGAATCCACTATAATGCCTCTTTACACTGGATCGCTTGGAAGCTAAATAAATAGCATGTTGGTTTTTGCTTTGTTAAGTACTGGAAAAACTATATTTATTCTTACATTTTCATCAGTTAGGTCAAAAGTTGTGTGGCTGTGAAAATCTGGAAGAATGGCAACCTTGATTTCTAACCATAATAACAGGTTAAGTTTGGGGCTTAGACATCTTGGCCATTTCTACTATGAAAATAACTACTTATTGTGTAAACTACTTAGAGTCTGGAAAGAAAAAAATCTCACAGACTTAAATGAGAATGGTTTGTTTCTGCCCAGTGAAAACTCAAAAGTCCAAGTCATAACTCATCATGGCCACCACTAAATAATTTTGCAAGAGACTCAGTTATTATACAGACTTACTGTTGCATTCTGTGTTTATAAACAGTCTCATTTTTTGAATCCCCAAATTCACTAAGTTTTGCAGACATATACTTCAATGCATGAGAAAAATAAACCATTATTACAAGACTTACCCCAAATTATAACCACCAAGTACAGTAGCTGATTATTTAGGTTGTTTAGGTAGCTGCCTGACAGCCTGATCTCATACTGTTCTATCTCAGGCTTTACTCTTGATGGATTAAGCCATTCTTAGTGACCCACATGGGAACCTTTTCTACTCCACGGTCTTTACTCCTAAAGTCAAGGCCATTTCTTCTGACCTTGGACTAGAATTACAGTGTAAGCCAGGGTAAAAAATATAGCCTCTTTCATAGAGTCCATTTGACATTCATATCATTATTCTACAAAATTTATAGTACAATTATTAATCTTATTTATAATAATAATTATATAAGCTGTATTATTTTGTTTTGTTTTGTTTTAGTTTTCCTAGCAACCATAGAAATTATAACCTTTAGCACACTGTCTACATTGCCAAAATCACTTAAAAATAGAACATGAGAGAGTTTTCGAAAACAAATTGCAGTGGCTTTTATAGGCTACCTGGTACAGGTGGGACTTTATGGAGCTGAGTTGACTGCAGTTGTCCAAGGCTTTCTATTTAATTTTATCAATTTTTCTAAAAGGCAAACATGATCCTTACTATTCATTGGAAATATGCCTAGAGGAAGTTGTTATACAAAATAGGATATTAAAACTTCAGACCCGGGACCAGCAGATAGTGTAATGGTTATGTTGCTGAACTTGCACATGGTTAACCACTGTTCAAATCTTAGACCTAGAGGCTTGAAACTCATGTCTGGTGCACGTGTGTGTATACCAAAAACCCTGAGAAAAGAATGGAGGAGAAGGGATTGTGGCATGGCTATCCTCCTGAGGGGATGATTTCTCACTTTCTCTCTCTTTTTCTGTCTCTCCAGTGAGTGTATGCACTCTGTAACAAAAATCCCTCTCTCTCAAAAAAAATTCAAACCTAATTTTAGAGAATCTCTTAAGATATCTGAACATTCCTTTCAAAATCATACCCTTTGACACCACTACAAATTCTGTTGCATAGCTGCATAGACAGAAATCCACCCTTGTCTGCTTTTTGTATTTTTCTCTCATATCCCACTTCCAACTCATCAGCATATTCTGTTGGTCCTGCCTTTAAATTCGATCCATATTTTAACCACTAATTACCATTCACATTTCCTACCATTTTTGAACCAAACTGGCATCATCTCGTGTTACATCATTGCAGAAACCTGCTCAGAATTCTTCCATGGTTTCCAACTCAGAACAAAAGCCTTCATCTCTTGTCTGTCTGTCTTGGTAAGAGACAAATTCTATAAAGATTTTAAACCATTGAGATATTTTCTGTATCCCCAGTGCTTGACATATAGCAAGTGCTTAATAATTATTTTTGCGATTAAAAACAGGAAGGCATTCTGGGACCAGCAGTTGGCGTAATGGCTATGTCGCTAGACTCTCATGTAGTCAACCGTGGTTTGAGTCTCAGACCTGGTGGCTTAAAACTCATGCCAGGAGCGTGTGTGCGTGCATGCCCAAGATCCCAAGAAGAGAATGAAGGAGAAGGGATTGCAGCTTGACCATCCCTCCTGGGGGGGTGATTTCTTGCTCTCTGTCTCTCTCTGTCTTTCTGGCAAGCACACGTGCCTGTAGCAAAAGCCTCCCTCCACAAAAAAAAAAAAAAAAAAAAAAAAAAAAAAAAAAAGAAAACAAAAAAAGGCATTCTAAATGGTATGAACTGTGGCTATTAGAAATTAGATGAACCTACACTGATATCTATGATGCTAAAGTCTTAGCTTCTTCAGCAGATTTCATTACTAGCTTGTTTGTTCATTAGCTTATACAACAACAACAAAAAAACCAGAATCACACTGCTGCTATGAGAATAAAAGATAAGCGTCTTGACTCTACGTTATGTACAGATCAGTGAGCGAGACCAGTGAGCCAATAAACATTTATAGTATATTGTGTGGGGTGCCATGAATCAAAGCATTTAATGGAGAGATATATATGACACTACATAGATACTGGGATAGGCAGATGAGTGAGGAACGCCCATTAGTTGTCATCCCAGTGGAAACTGGAAAGAGAATTAGGAATTTGCCAGGTGAATAAAGGTAGAAAGGGACCATTGCAGGCATCGGGAAGTCATAGGGCAAAGACTTGGGGTAGGAGGTAATATGGTCTGTTTGGTATTGTGGGTTACCTAGAATGGCTGTTTGTTGTTGAAGAGATTCAGTCTCAGGAGCACGTAGATCATGTCCGCGTACATAGCTCCTGTTGGATCAGAGTTATTTCTGCCTCTGCCGGGGTATCAAGAAGTAAGGACACAGTCTGCTTGGGATCTCCTCTGGGAGATGAGATTTGCATATATGAGATGACTGAAGAATAACACAAGTAAGTCTTGTGTCATCAAATGTAACGAGGAACAATGGCTTAAGTGCTACAAGAATTGATAAAAAATGGGAAAGAACATGTGGTTGGAACTGAGGAGACAGGTTTACGTGGAGAAGTTGGATTTGAACTATGCTTTGAAGAAAATGTTTTAGTTGCAGCTGAGGGAGGGGAAAAAGCCTCCCAGCCTGTGATATCACTAAAAAAAGATCCAAAGAGAAGAAGGAGCTCAATTTAAGCATTTGAAATAAGCGTTGGAGTAAACACATACTTGAAATAAGTATTTGAGTTGCCCGGAGGAATTGTTTAAAGGAGCAGTGGGTAATAATATTGACTGTTTTTGCTAGGGAGAATAGAGTTGAATATGAAAGAAAAAAATCTGAGGACTCACTATAATGAGATAGAACATGGATTTTTTTTTGGAAAGTGAAGTCAAGGGTTAAAAGTGACATTCGAAAATGCATGTGCCAAAAAGAGGCTAAGTGGAAGCTGACAGCTCACTGAGAGAGCAATTAAGAGGCCATTGCGGAGCCAGTGTGTCGTATGGTAGTTGAGCACTGGACTTTCACATGGCTGACTGCGGTTCAAGTCCTGGACTTTGAGGTTTGTTTTCTCGCTTTACCTCTCTCTCTCTCTCTCCCCCTAAGACAACAAAAAAGCCATTGCGGTGGCCCAGAGAGGAGGGATGTGAGTATTGACTGGAATGATTCGAGTTGGTGTTGAAGGACAATCGTGAGACAAAATATTTGAAACAATTAGATGCAAGAATCAATAGGTCCTCATGACTAACAGAATGAAGAGGGGAGTCACAATATTAAAAGTGAGATGTGTATATACTAGCACTCATGAGGAGTGCTAGTCAATACTATTAAGAGACAGGTGTTTAAAAAGCAAAGATTTTAGGGAGTGTTTTCATTTTAATATTAATAGTTCTTCCTCCCTCAATTTTTGTTTG